AGTCTGATTCCTCCACCATTTTATCCAATCCAACAACATTTTCTAGCTCTTTTTGGACTTTCTTCATCGCTTTCGGATGCCTCATGAGTTCGGAGAGTGCCCACTCAATCGTTGTCGATGATGTGTCCATGGAGGCCACCAACATGTCCTACAAAGAAATTCGCCATAGTTTACATGAAGTAGTGTAGCACACATGACATAGATGATAAATTAGATAAGGGAATTTACATGTTAAATATATATTTGAAGGTAATGTTACTCCTAAATAATGATTCAGATTCACAATCTTAGACAATGAGATGTTGAATTATCTAACATGAAACAATGTCCTTTTACTTTGAGCAATGCAAAAATAAAAGGACAAATAATTTATATAAAAAATGATGCTAGGATTCGGTGTATATGTATACTCACCAACATTATAGCCTTGATATGGGGGCGTTCGATTCGGTATTCGGATTCTTCGGACCCCATGAAGCCCACCATAACATCAACAAAGTCCTTAGTTCTTTCTCCATCGTTAGGTTTAAGATGCTCCTCAATGATCTTCTCAAACAAGTTATCAAATGCCTTGTTAACAGACTTCATGCGTTTTGTGAACCCTTGGAGGTCAAGTGGAGCAATAAAGGGAATGTAATCACCCAAGTTAGGAGCAGATGCCAATTGGATACCCTCTCTGACCACAGACTTGAAACCCCTCTCATCAAACTCCTCATCCTTGTACTTCTTCCCAAGCACCATCCGGCAGCTCATGTCCACGCTGAGAGACGAGACCTTGTCACTCAGATCAACAGCAACACCTCTATTATTTGCGGCCGCTCGAATAGACTCAACACAGAGAGAAACCTCTTCTCTTCTCATGGACTTGAAGGAGTTGATTTTGTGGTTGCTGAGCAACTCAATTGTGCACATCTTCCGGGTGTCGCGCCAGTACACGCCATACTCAGAAAAGATCAAGTTTTTTTGTCCGAAAGAGATGTGCTTTGAACTTTCATGTGGTGGCCTGCTAGCAAAAACAAGGTCGTGTGTTTTGAGGAACAGCTCTGCGGCCTCTGGAGATGAGATGACAATGGTATGCATAAGGCCTAAGCGCATGTACATGATGTGGCCGTATTTTCGGGCTAGCCGATGAAGATCCTTGTGAGGAAACTCCCCTAGCAAGTGAAGGCTTCCAAAAATGGGGAACCCTGTTGGACCAGGAGGTAACCTCTTCTTCTTGTTCTTCCACCATGCTTGCAGGATATGAACAAGGGCAAGCAACCCAATTGTTGCCCAAATCCAAACCATTGCTGGCTTCTTGGGGATGATCTCAAATGGTTGAGCTAGGCGAGAGAGGTCTCTCTTCTATAACTTTTGGAAAAGGTCCTACTTTTGTTTCTCTGTGTTCTTATACTTTCAATCCTCTTGGTGTAAAAGTAAGACGATTTTCTTCGTTCTTTCATGTCAGCAATAGTAAATGGCATTTATTGTTCCGCGGCAGTGAGTTTAATTCTTTTCTTCTTTTTACTGTACTTGTTGATCACTCTCCCTGTTCGGTCCAATTGAAAACGTCACCACCTCTAAGTTTCGAAGAGTGGGCCATTGGAGAGCCACTATATTAGAATAAATCTAGAACTCCAAATGAAAATATTGTCTTGTTTCGTATGTTATCCCACTGCTGAGATATAATGATTTTTATTTATATCTTTTGTGTAGAATGAACTAGCAAAAGGTGTCCGCGCGATGCTGCGGGTTTTAAAATTGTGTGAAATGTGTA